CAGGAGGTTTAAGCCGCACAATAGATTTATCTTCATGTTTCCTATCCCCAACTCGGACATCGAATCAGGTACTATTTATTTCCCCACGCAGCATGGTAGTTTACTTCAGACAAAGCTTATAATGATTTCTGATTTACTCATATCCTTTTCCACACAGCTCAAGAATTGGTAAATACGTGGTCATTTGATTTGGATATGCTTTCCAAAAGCCGGAGGCCCAACTTCAAACATCTCCATATGTTCCTGCAAAATCCTTCACGTTGCCGCTTAAGCCTTGATCCCCCCTCACACCCCTTAATATCAAACTCATTAAATAGCCACAAATAGGTTGCAGCTCTCAAAGGAAATGTTGGAAAGTGCCAGTGAACAGGACTGAAAAGGGGCATTTGTCACGGGCCCAGGAGTTAAAGGAGTTAAAATCCAGCAAATTCTAAACTCTGAGAAATCATCACATTCCAAAGACTTCAAGTCTTTATATCACTTGAAGCTTCCATTTACTCTGTAAAACATTATGATCGTGTCTTTAAGCCATGGCTTTAAGATTAGAGCTACATCTGGGCCAGAAAAGCCAGAAATAGCCAAGAAGAGAGGGCACTTTGTTTCTACTGGTATAGGTGGATAGCTCAAAAACTTTTTGCACAAAATATGGAAAGGCCATGCTTGCCTCTTCCACAGAACGTGGCTCCGTGTTGTGAGAAGAAGCCCTACCTCCTGAGCTGGAGCAGTTCCGAGGGCACGCAGGCTACAGTCCTCAGTGGGGCCCGGCACCCCTGTGTTCCTCAGACTCTGGAGCTCAGCCTCCAATCCTGGCTCCTCTAGATGACCTTGGTGAGGCATCCTAACTTCTTTGCACCTCAGTCACCTTGCTTGTAAAATGGGGGTGATAGTAATTGTCCCTGTTTCATAAAATAGCTGTGAGCCCTGGAGGAGGTCACGCATAAAATGGCTCTGGGCGTAATGCCTGCCATACGATCAAGTCTCAATAAATATTCCTAAATAAGGTCTTACAAATTCAGTAGGTGAACTAGATGCGCTCCAAATGCCTCTTCTTGCCAATAAATTCAATAAGCACTGGCCTGGGCTAATCGGATAGTGCCATAAAATCCCACTGCCATCAAGTGGGTTCGGATTCACAGCGACCCTGTATAGGGTTTCTGAAGCTGTAAATCTTTATGGAAGCCAACAGCCTCCTCTCTCTCCCGGACAATGGCCACAGCCCACATATCATGATTATAGCCAACCACTGGCATGGCCCTCCCATATTGCACCTGTGCTCGCAAGTCTGTGCTTGCTGTGCCTAGGTTATGAATATCATTTTACGCATCAGACTCTGTTCTCTATTCAAATTCAAATGCATTGGGAGTAACCCACATGTGGTTTAACTTATCCCTTCCAACAGACAGTGAGCTGGTGACAAGTAACAATGGGTGTAAGGAACAGAACAATCAGTATAGGGTTGGAAGAAGCATGGAGAAATCGTGACAGAGCACAGTATTACAGGAGAGGGAGGCTGGGTGGGAAGTGAGCATAGGAGAGTCCTGGAGTAGAAAGGGAGTACTGAGGGAGTAGCAGAAAGGGTTCACATGGCAGCAAAAGATGAGCCATGAAACAGAGAACAGAAGGTTCTGGAGAGAAATAGTTGCTCGATATTGGCTTTAGCCCTGCACAGGTTTGCGGAACATTCTTCTGTATGCATTAGTACTGAATGAAACCAATTAAACAAGCATGGGTCTGGCCGAGAAGCCATGGCAGTGCTGTAGGTATTAGTCTGCTCAACAAAAAGGCAATGGCTCAAACCCACCAGCCACTCCTCAGGAGAAAGATGAGGTTTTCTGTTCCCATAGACGTTTATAGTCTCAGAAACCCTAGAATGAGCCACTGCGCATTGGAATGGACTCAGTGGGTTTGCCTTTTGGAGGGGTTTGGTTCTGGAAGATAGCCTGCCTCCCAAAAGCTAATGGAGCACGATGACTTCCCTGCAGGTTGGCAGATGCACTGCTCTGTGCTTCAGAGGGAGATGGAGTAGCACACTCTGCCCCCTAACTAACTTTCCAACACCTTCCAAGGTTTGCATTTGGTCCTCCTCCAAATGAACCACAGTCACAGAACTGTTTCTCAAGAGCATCTGCCCCTCTCTGGTGATCGAAAAGAGATGCCAGCTTTATCCCTATACCCTGCCATTTTGGAAGCGCTCTCCTCCATTGCCACCACCACCCATCAGCCTGGAATCTGTCCCTGGAGAACAGAAAGCCACAGCTCTGAGAACAAGGGGCCTCCCTGCCTTCCGGTGAGGGCTGTTTGCTTTAACATCGAGTGGGGCGGGCGGGCATGCACACTGGAGGGGGTTCTAAAGTGTGCCTGCATCCCAGGAACATGGGCAATCTCACTAATAGTTGCTGGCTTAGAAAGGATAACACATATAAAGAAAGTTAATTATGTGAATTAAATGCAGCTTGTCTCTCTTTTTGAAGTACTTTTTTTTTTCATGCCTGGAGGAGGGTGATTTACAGACACATTTGTCTTTCTTTAGGGAAAATTAATTCCAGTTGGTGTTCTGGGCAGAAATGAAGGGAAGACGGGAAGGAGACAAAGCTGCTGCTTCCTGCTCTGTCAGTCCAACCATCACTCACATGGCACCGGGTAGGAGGCTGACACGGGTCCTTAAGCATTTTGTTGCTTCTCATATAAAAAGCCAACAAACAAATACTTCGAATATCAACTTCTAGGCTCCAATGCCACATTCAGTTCAAATGAAATGAATCATTTATTGTAGAGATGATTTTCAAACGAATGGGCCCAAAGCAGAGGAGATAATACCATATACCGGCAATGCTTGCTGTATGAGATGAGTTTTGAAGAGCAAAGAGGGTTCTGTTGAGGACCAAGGTGCCCTTGACCCAAGCCGGGGTATTTTCCATGACCTTGGATGCATGTGAAAGTTGAACATTGACTAGGAAAGACAAGAAGAAGTGATGCATTGAATCGGGGTGCTGGGGAAGAACACTGAAAGTCCCACGGACTGTTAAAAGGGCAAACCATTCTGTCTGGAAGAAGTTTTGTCAGGCTGCTGCTGAGAGGCAAGGGTGGGGAGATTTTGTACCTACTTTTGACATGTTGTCAGAAGAGACCCGTCCTTAGAGAAGGACACCAGGCTTAGTAGAGTAAAAGCAGAGGGCCAGTGAAAAAGAGGAGGGCCCCGAAGGAGATGGATTGACACCATACATAGCTCAAGCATAGGGGCGCTCATGAGGATGATACAGGACCGGGCAGCGTTTCATCCCCTTCTGCAAAAGGACGCTATGGACTGGAAGCAGCTCAGCGACATCCACCACAATACCAACAACAATGGACCAGACCTCTGTGAACACTTGGATCTCTAACTAATGCACCCGGGCATGTTCTTTGGAGACATATATCTGTAGACTTCTAATTGATAGTCATACGGATGTAGTCATTCTAAAACCATTTTGTGCATACCGTGGGGTTGAGCAAAGTGGGCAGGTATATCAATGAACCACGGTCCTCACTGTGAGGGGAGATGGCATTCACGTTTGCGATGGGAAACGAGAAGAGACTGCTATGTTACTGAATTAGAATCATACGAATCAGTGTGAAGTCCTTGTGCTTCCTAATTCTGCCCCAAACAACCTCTACAAGAAATAACATCCCGGTAACAATGAACACACTTAAAACTCAGCTCGTGGTTTTTACATATCATTCCCCACTAGATTTATCCAAAGTTCCTTGGATAAATAGGCAATTTCAGAACGGTGGCAAGAAAAGTATAAGATGGACTCCCACTGACCAGATTTGAAACAATAGGAGCATTAAAAACAGTAACAATGAATTTTAACACATCCAGGACAATTTGGCATTTCAGATTAAGGCTCACATCCTAGGGTCCAAAGAGATATTTTCTAAGGTGAATGATGGCAGTGTCCTGGGGGGAACAAGCCCTCGGAGCACCGGAGCACCACAGGCTACGAGCTGGGCTCCTGACCGCAAAGTCAGCCATTGGAAAAACCACTAGCCATTCCTCGGGAAGAAGGCTTCTACACCTGGAAAGGATTACCGTCTTGAAGGCCCATAAGGTGCTCTACCCTGCTTTATATGGTAGTTACATGAGTCGGCATTGACTTGATGGCAGTGAGTTTGGGTTTTTGTTTTATTGGTTTGCAAATGATCGTCAGAAAGAGTGAAGCTACCGATCTTTTTCTGCTTAACCGTACAAGCTGAGAGCAATAGAAAGAGAGATGAGCAAACCCGTTTTTTAACCACCCGCAAGGTGGTAACTGATTCACACAGGGATGTGCTAAAACTATTGAGTGACAAGATTTGGGGGTGACAGGATGTTCCCATGGTCCCAGAGTATTTATAAGTTAAATTGGGGAAAGGGTATCTTTATAATCACAAGATCTGGCTAACACTACTCTGGCCAATTGGTCAGGTTTAGCATCGCCAATAATGGGACAATCTTACTTCAATTCCTCCTGATGTGGTTCCATGGAAAACAGCACCTGAATTTGCCTGAGTCTCTCCTCGCTGCTTAGACTTAGTCAAAACATGTGCGTGAGAACAGGACGCAGATGACATACAAGCACCTGACCCCAACACTTCAAATAACATCACTAGGAATGGCAACAACAAAGACCGAGAACTGACATGACCCATCACTGTAATATAGGGGCCTTGACTGGGCTCTGGAATTGTTTTGAAAAGTGTCTTGCAGAATTATGAATGCATGCTGAATGAATATGAGGAGCCTTTACAAAGCTCCTGTAAAAATGGAATCGGAAAACATTGGGATTTTTCCACAGACTTTTTGAAGATCCATAATGTAAATATCTATTGTATGCCATTCGTACACATATCGTCACACATTGATAGTTATACATAGTTATATATACATATATGGTGAAGAGACAAACTACAAAAGCCATGAAAATACACTTTAGACCTATAGATGCTTGAGGTACATGAAAAGCTACGACTTCACTTACTTCCCCAGTCGCATAAAATTCATTCTGTCTGTATTCAGGAAACAACTGGAAAAACTGGATCAGTGCACTGCAAAAAAGGAAAGGGAAATACAGGACACAGAATCAGAATTGCTTCACGCAGTGCTACCAGATCTCACCCTCTGCCAACAGGTGTCAACTGTGTGGCAACCATGAACTTGTCTCAGGTCTCACGCCACGAGACCAGAGCTCCCCTCGGGGATCTGTTCCCAGCGCTCCATGCCCTGTGGCCTGTTAGAACATATCTGTGGGCATCCTCTGTGATCGTGAAAGTTGAAACAAGTGGATATCAACACCGGTGGGGACAATTGGGTGAGTGTCACTCGAGACGGTGACTCATGGTGTCATCCCTGAGGGTGGGGCCAGCTGGCAGACATCACACACACACACACACACACAGAAGCTAGTGGCTGCAGCTTCTCCCTTCTCCCATTAGCATCTGTCTGGTGGGTAACTGGAAGGGAAGGTGACAAGTTGCCACAGTAAGTGATGGGTGACACTAGCTTAGTGACTCCACTGTTTGGTGTCCCCTCCCCCTGCAGCACTGACTCACTCTCCAACACCATAGACCCTCTGGTCCTTTTGGTGTTTGGTGCAGGCCTCACCCCACCCCAACACTACAGTAAGATCACCCCAACATTACAGTGAGCCCACCCCAACAACTACAATGAGCCCATCCCAACAGTACAGTGAGCCCACTATCAAGTCACGGCACCCTCGGCCAGCAGTACAGTGAGACCACCCCAACAGTACAGTGAGCCCACCACTATCAAGACCCTGGACACCTTCCATTTCTCAAGGTGACCAAGTTGGATCGCCGCCTTGTTGAGGCGACCCATGAGCAAGTGATACAGGATTGACATATTATTTAGCAATTCTCAGGGGGTCCTTCTACAAAGCTTATTTCATCGTTAGGTGAATGCTACCACGGAATCTTCAATGCCTCTCCAGACTCTTCATTAGCAAGCATGTCTTCACTAGCCATGTTGTTGTGGTTGTAGTTGTTGTGTGCCATGGAGTTGGTTCCAATGTACAGTGACCTTATTGACAACAAAATGACATCCCACCCGGCCCTGCCTCAGCTTCACAATTGTTGTTATGGTCGAGCCATTGTGCCAAACCATCTGTTGAGTGCTTTCCTCTGCCCCTCTCCCTTTCCAAGTATGATGTCCTCTTCCAGAGACTGGTAACATGTCCAAAGAACGAACGACAGAATCTCGCCATCCTTGCCTCTAAGGAGCATTCTGGCTGGATCTCTTCCAAAACAGATCCAGTTGTCTTTTGGCAGTCTGTGGTACTTTCAATATTCTTCTCAGCACAGCTCACGGCATCGATTCTTCTTCAGTCTCCCTTATTCAGTGTCCAATGTTCGCATGCATAGGAGGCGGTGGAAAAACTGTGGCTTGGGTTCCATTGACCCAAGTGTGTGCTGTGTAATAAGAACCTCACTTCTTTACCATCCTCACTCTCTAGGGTCCCTAGACACTTCTGAGCTCCCAGTGTTGGTCATCGAAGAGTGTGTTTATCACAGTTCCATTGTGGTAAGTGAAAGTAGATACACAGTGACTTCTAGGTCCCCAAAACAATAGCATTTATTTTTTAAATGCCAACAGCCACTTCCATGAGTTACGCTGCACAAAACAGATTTAAACAGGTTGACGCCATTACTGCATAATAACCAGAAAAGGGTGGCTCTGAGAGTTTTATCACAAATCTTTCAAGAAGAGAAACTCCAGCCTATGGAACTCAGCAGGGTGAGCGCCTTGACCTTGTTTGCAGGGCCTGAGAAGCCTCCTGCCGAGGGGCTCAAAGCCAGAAAGAACCTTGCAGTGAAGATGAAAGGCGGGGAGGGGACAGGTCAAGGGTTCCTCACAGAGACAGGGGTGGGTCACTGGAGCCACCTCTTCATTGTCAGAGGCTCGGAGCAAGTTCACCAGCAGACACTAGCTTAGGTCTCGGGGCATTTTTGTCTGTCTTGTGTAGAGTAGCCTCGTAGCAACTCAACCTGGGAAGCTGTGTCAGACAGCACCCGTGTTGGCCTGGCCACACACTGGTCCCACAATGGACTCAAAGGAGGAGCTCACACCCTCACTCCCGCCTCCAGCCTCAGTCGGAAAACCACTGTCCTCCGCCAGTTAAAACAGCTCGACAACTTCATATAGTAAATCCCAATTCCATCTTACACTCGAGCTAAAAGTTTACATTCTGGGAGTAGCTGCTGTGGAGTTGTTAGGATTGCCAGACAGAAAATAAAAACACAACATGCCTAACTGCGATTGCAAGTCAGATACATTCTGCACATATTAGTGTTAAGTGATGTATATTGGTGCAGATGTGTATATGTGTGTGTGTGTGTGTGTGTGTGTGTTTGTGCACGTGAGTATATCTCTGTGTTAAGTAGAGCCTTTGTGGCCTAGTGGTTAGGCTTTGGGCTGTGACCCTCAAGCTCAGCAGTTCAAAACCACCAGGCACTCCTTGGGAGAAATGCAGAGCTTTCTAGTCCCATATAGAGCGACAGTCCCAGAAACTCACAGGGGAAGTTCTCCCCTGTCCCAGAGGGTCGCTATGCATCAGCATCAATTGTATGGTGGTGTGTAAGTACATCATGAATGAGTCAGAATCGATTCAGTAGCAGCGCGTTTATTTTCAGATGCGGGGGACAGTTTCACATTCCTCACAAATACTGCAAGTGCCATCTTTTCACTCAAGAAAGTACCCATTATTGATCTGAAATTCAAGTTAAATCATCTGGCAGTCCTCGTCGAAGTGGAAAAAAGTCTCTCGAGGTTCTCCAGCTGAAGTCTCTAAGGAATTCCCCACTTGAGCAAGTTATCACCGAGTTTTAATTTCACAGGAAAACCAGAACAAAACCAGAACCAGGAAAACCAGAACAAAACCAGAACCAGAACCAGACTGATAGCAGCGGACTCTCGGCCAGCATTTTCTCAAATGGTTTAATGGGGACATGAAGAATGGAAAAGGCAAATGTAGTTAATTAGATTTACATATTCCATTTGCTAATTAAAACGGAACTAAAGCGATGCCATCTGGGTTATCCTTAATCCACGATGAGAGATTGCTCACAAATGGACCCCTGCCCGTGTGAAAGTTCAAATTTTAGAGACAGAATGGCTAAAACTAATAATATGAGGCTCACCACGTGTGTGTGTGTGTGTGTGTGTGTGTGTGTGTGTGTGTGTGTGTGTGTGTGTGTGTGAGAGAGAGAGA